TTTGTTAGAATCTTTGTGCAGGAACATCTACAATAGATCCAGTACGTCTGACAATATCTCCTTCTTTAATGGCAGAATCACTACCAAAAACCACGTGAATAATTATTCCTACACTCTCATTTTTCTAGATTCAGTGCCATTCCTTTAACTCCACTGGAAAATTTTGATAATGTCTTCAGCTTGAATCTTGTTCAATCCATAAACACATGCAGTTCCATCTCCTACGGAAACCACCCGGTGTTCAGAACTGACGCCATTATGATACTGATCATCATCACATCCAGCTCATCCCAGCACGGTTGCAGCAAGGCAAGGCAAGGACTTTCATCGTCCACAAAGGACATCCATGCGATCTTCCGCAGGCAGCAGCATCCGCACAGAATCCAAAACCCTCCGCAGTTGCCTACCAGTATCCTATCTTTTTTTTGTTTTTTTTTTTTTGTTTTTTTTTTTGTTTGTTTGTTTGTTTGTTTGTTGAAACTTCCATCTGCCTGGCATTCGTGCTCTGAGATGGAAGACTCCACTCATCATCCAGGTAACTTTAATGAGTCGTCTGTATTCGTAGATACAGAAGAGTGTACGACCTACAGAACAGATCCTGTTCAAGTACAGTATCCTATCAAGTTAGTATCAACCAGAATTTAGGTGAACATCCCCCCCCCTAGGGCCCTAGCTGGTTAACGGCCTCGTACCTGTTGGTAGGTTTATCATTGTAGCCCAGTAATCTATCCGCAGCCAGAAGGAATTCCGCAGCCCAACGGAATTGAACCGGCGACCTCGGTTGCACTGGTGACCGGCTGTTCAAGACTATAAAGCCATAATTATTCGGGTCATGACACTCAGCCCACCTTCACAACTGCGAACCAGTAACTAAAAGCAGCTCCAGGCATGAGGCCCAGGCCTACTTGTGACAGTGTGACGGTTGTCCGTCACACCGTCACAAGTAGCCCCGGGCCAAAAAAGCGGGCAGCTTTAGAGATGGGTGGTCCGCGCAACCTTGTTCCGGAGCGCAGCAGGTGGAAAAGGAGGTTCATTCACTGGCGACGTTTCTCAGCGCATACTGACACTAGAACGTTTCCAATGGAGCTCTGGACCCATTTGCGGTCAGATACGTCCATATCAGGCTGTAATTCCGGTCGGATTCACTTCAGAAATTCCAAGTCCTCATGTGAGCCCCTGTGACTATGGGCATATTCCAATCTCTACGTACAATGTTTGAAAGCTGTTGTTTCTAGAACAATGAAAAGACAGAAAGACGTTGAGGAAAATGCAGATGCACACTGTTTTGGTCAGATCCGCTCTCGTGGACCAAGTCCCAATTACCCGTATCTATCACTTCTGGCCGTAGATTGCACAGATCGACGGTCAGAAATGAAGGATAGGGGTACTAAGTGGGACTTGGCTCTGTGTCTGCTCTGACAGGCTTTCTATTAAACAACGGCAGATGCAGCGCAGCAGGTTTTGAGTTCACAAAGGCAAAGCCCGCAATTTGGGTGGAAAACAATCTGTTGGGCTTCAAGTTGGGGTAACTTCAGCAGAGTCACAAAAACGAGTTATAATTGCACTTTGGGGCGAGATACAGTTTGCAATAATTGCACTTGGGGCACCCAACCTGGCCAGAAAGCTGGGTTGTATACACTGTCCGAACTGCAAAAATTCGAAACTGTATCTTGGCCCGTAGAGCAATTATAACTCATGTTTGTGACTCCCGTGTAGTTTCCCTTTTTGGGGGGGTTTAACCCCTTTCCCCGTCTGACACCACAGCATACCCCTGTAGCCATGACACCCGACCTGACACACCACGGGCAATTGGTACTTTGATTGCCCCCTTTTTTTTTTCTTTTTTTTTTGGGAGAACAGTAGGACATTTCATTGCAAAAAACTGAAGAGTACGGGGCCGGGAAACCCCACGGGCCATTGGTACTTTGATTGCTTTTCTTTTTTTTTTTTTTTTTTTCTTTTTTTTTTTTTGAGAAGTTGTCGCTTTTCCATTATAAACCAGATTGAAAATGCAGATGGAAAAAGACGCCAGACTGGAAGGGTGGAGAAGGTCTTTCAAAAAGAAATACCTTTTGGTTCCGAAAGACCTGGCAAAGGACAATAAATTCGCTACTATATCCACAGAAGGGAAACTGACTTTCCCAGACTGGTTACGACCATCCTAGAAACGTTGTAGTTTCTATCTGAACTACCCTGAGTTAGCCACATTGCTGAGGAGGTGGTCTATATTAGACCCTCCATACTCATCTTGGTGGGTCTGGTGCTGTAAGTTTACTAGATTGATCAGAGATCCATCAACCTTTTTTTTTTTTGGACTTCATGTTATTTTGAGAAGTTTATTCGAAGAACTAGATACTGTGGGACGCTGGAACCGGTTTCCAGCAGTGACCACAGCATGGACTTTGATTGCTTTTTCCGACCTGGGCACCTGTTTTCTTTCCCGCGGCGCGTGTTTCTTTTGCTCATTGGATACTCAAAAGCGACTTCGAAGTACTTGCCCCCCTTAAAGTTTCTTTTTCTTTTTTTCTCTTTTTTTCTCTTTTGTTTTCCTATTTACCAGTTCGTATTCTCCGATCCGTGGATAGGAAAACAAAAGACAGGAAAAAAAAAAGAGAAAAAAGAAAAAGAAACTTTAAGGGGGCCAAGTACTTCGAAGTCACTTTTGAGTATCCAATGAGCAAAAGAAACATGCGCCGCGGGAAAGAAAACAGGTGCCCAGTTCGAAAAAGCAATCGAATTATAGACTGCACATGGGATCCGCATAGAGCCTTGGCTAATGGTCCCACGCCCTCCGTGAAACGCAGGTTTCTGTTTGGTCGCTTGGCCCATTTGAGTAACCCAGGCAGTCTCTCTATTTTGGTCATGATTGAATTCTTGAATCGTGTTGAATCCTCTGAAGATTTTGTAGTCCCCACCATATTCACTTAGGAAGTAGTACAGCAAGTCTTTTGGGCTAGTGGAGCATGCATTTCAGGCGCCCTCGGGTGAAGAGGCCAATTAGCTTGCTGTATTCGAGGTCTATATTTGGACGACATTGTATGGGACGCTGGACCCGGTTTCCAGCAGGTGCAGCTCCCCACGAATAGAATGGAGCCATCGAACCTAGGCCCTCTTCTATCTTCAGGGTCTCTTACCACCCTGAAGGCAGAAAACCGGGCTCGAACCGATGTTGAAAAAAAAAGAAAAAAAGAAAAAAAGCAATCGAAGTCCATGCTGTAGTCACTGCTGGAAAAATATTAATAAAACCAAAAAGGAAAAACACATCGGTTCGTTAAAGGTCGGTCAACAGGCAGCAGAGTTTGCGCGTCGCCGCACGGGACACGAAACGGAAAACGGAACGAGTGGATCTTCCCGCAGAAAATGGCCAGGTTCATCCGTTTGCTATAAATAGTAACGCGTGTATTTTGCCACCTTTCGTGGCCAGATGCACTCGTTTCGTTTTCGTTTCGTGTGCCGTGCGGCGAGACCCTTTGACCAACCACAGCACCTCCTCAAGTGCTGCCTCCCACCCGAACTTTGTAGTGGGAAAACAAAAAAAGGGGGTAACTTCAGTACAGTCACAAAAACAGTTTGAAATTACACTTCAGACATTCCCCCGAACACAACACACCCCACGCAACCGTACCTGACCCGAAAGCTGGCTTGTATACATACAAAAGAGCAGCGGCACGCAGCGCTTGCTTGACAATGTATATATGATGAATTCCGCAACGTCCACACATAACTCTGCAGCTCCTGCAGCGCTGCAGGAAGGATGTGAGTGGGCATTTCCTGCAGCGCTTGTGCATGAATATGGACGAGTTTAGGACTGGATTCATTAAGCATAACGCTGGACCATCTCCGCCAACCTACCCAACTTACACCATCATGATGGCATATAACATTTGCAATCAGTTTCATAACAACCCATGACGATGATTAGGATGATGAATCGGTGATGATGATGATGATGATGATGATGATGATTACGATGATGATGAATCGGTGATGATGATGATTACGATCATGAATCGGTGATGATGATGATTACGATCATGAATCGGTGATGATGATGATGATGATGATGATATAATACGATGAGAAGGTGCTGCACATGATCGCTGTCGGGTGCTCTCACTTAATAATTAATAATTAATAATTAGATAAAACAAATGTCGTGGCTAATGAAAATGGAAGAGAAACGGGTCATGGACTTCGACAGGTGATCGAGGACAGAAAGATTAAATTTCATGCTTCCTGCTGACGCTGGCGATGGTAAAAACTTGGAGTCTGGGACCACCACCGCTACCTCTCTGCAAAACTCGGGTGGCAACAATCCACCGGACCAACTAAAATGGACGCATCTGAGGGGGAAAAAAAAAGAAAAAAAGAAAAAAGAGGGCGCATCCAAAGGTAGTCATGGCGGTCGCAAAGGACAACAATGTCACCAATTATCCCCAATGTGTTGCTTTGGAAAGAAAAAGAAGAAGACAAAAAAAGACAAAAAAAAAAAAAAAAGACAAAAAAGGGGTACCCGCAGCTTTAGCGATGGGATAAGCTCATCGCTCCTGGTGATCCCTGTGTGCCTGGTAATTACCCTCTACAACATCCTGGACTTTCTTGGAGGAGGAACTCTCTCTCTCTCTCTCTCTCTCTCTCTTTTGTT